ATGGAAAGTGATTCCCATTGTGGTTATTGACATCTAGAGGCGATCCACTTCGAATGAGATCACCTAAAATGGGAATTTTGAATGGCACATTGTAATGGATGCCCGGATAGCTTTGATAAAGATAGCATATTCTAATCGGATAAAGGCAGTGCAAGATTATACACAACCAACTTCCGTCTGCATGGTTACAATTTTATAGAAGCCACGAAAGAAGGCGCCGGGCATGTTTATGATGCAGATCGATCTGTTTAGTTCACACTAAAACTTCATTGACATTTCTGAGAATAAAATCCAAAAAGAGTCGGCATTCTTTAACAAGTGTTGATCACTAGTTCGAAAAATATTTTTCTTTTACAAATGAGTGTCTTACGAAAAAATGCCTCGAAAATAGAGAAAGCAACAAAGAAACTAAAGCACTATGTACCTGGTAGTGATTGCTTCGTGTCCATAACGAGACCACCGGAATGCTTCGATGAAAGCTCATAAATGAGACATATGAGTGAACTGGACAAACAATGACTCTTGTGGCGTATAAAAAAAGCTCGACATGACCGACATGTTTCGGCTTGTTAAAAAGTGTGATCATTGGAAAACAGTGTTTCGGTTGTCACTTTCGTTGTTCTAACATCAAGGTTTGCCAGTTAACGTTTACTTCGAAACTTCAGGCTTTCCTGGCTTTATAGACCTTTTTTGGCTGTTCACTCATTGAATCGAAAAGTCTATTAGGTAGATCACGACTTTATAGTTTTTATGACAGCTATTTTCAATTACTCCTTGGAGCATACGTTATTAGAAAAGTGGGCGGTGTCGGTGTTCTCGTCAACACAAGTTTGGTCATGAACATCGATTTATTTGAGAAAGTAAGAGCAAGGATCTGACGCTCAAGTTTCAATAACTGTGTATCAATACAGGCTTTGGCAATCTTTGTCGTCCACGCATAGACATTAAGCCATGAAGAAATTGATGTCGAAGCGTTCTATCTGAACTCAAGAAGTTCCTACATAAAAGACCACACATTCTTTAGGGTTACCACAGAAACTTTCAACCCTGATATTTAAAAAAGCCACATAGGGGAATCTCATACTGGTTGGTTGCGAAGATACGTGGCGAGTCCCAGTTGGCGGATGAGGGTTAAACGTCGACCAAATGCGACCTTTGCTTTTCTGAGATGCTGGAGGGCCTAGAGGAAAGATTTTCTTCCTTTACTGCTTCGATTTTGCAAAGGACTTTTTGTTTACGGGAATGCATTCATGCTGGCGTCCGTTGGTGTTTTCTTCCTTATGCAGATTGCATTCTAGGAGTCAACTTCGGCCAAAACCTGCATTCATGTGACAGCGAAGTATTTGAGAAACGGTTGAGAGTCGCCTGCAAAAAATATGCTCCCGTGTACTCTGGGAGAGACTGGAAAGATGTCCGCTAGCCGTCAATATACCCATCCCCACGTTGGAAGCTCAGCAACGTTAGGAGTTAACATGATAAACGACTTAGCCTCAGAGTTGAGCAAGAGGAAATAAGCGGCTTGGAGAGCTTCCAAGAGTATCGACGTTGTACTGAAGAGCACAAAGAACACCCGACTGCATGCCCACCTTTCAACAGCACGATTCTTTATTTTTGGCATGTGTGAAGGCTGGCGCTATAAACATAGGATGGAATATCACTCAGCGTTATTGGAGACGCATTCGAAAGTACGATGCGATTCCACACAAATAAGGGAAGGGTTCCAAAGCTGCAATCCAAGTGAACGTATAAAAATCATTGGCACCGTTCTTCACGCCAAACTGTCGAAGATAAGGTGGACCGAACACGTAATGCGTATGAGCGACAAGCGATTGACAAGATTCTTCGGTGGTAGGATTCCTCGGAATGTCAAACGTAGTGCAGGAAGATCACCGACCCGGTGGTCTAAGTACTTCACGGTAACCTAGTAGCAAGAAAGAATGATTGGCCAGTCTCTAGAGCAAACGTAGGCCACTGGGCTACTCTTGTACGTGGTAAGGAAAACTGGATGTTTTCCTGGTGCTTGCTTAAATCCATCCTATCCTATCAGCAACTGTACAACATCGTAACTCGGCTAAAAATGCTGTTCAGAGCCGTCGAAATCTGCACGGTTTTACCAAAATGGTAAGGAAATCGTTTATTCTAGCGGCATAAAACTGTGATATTAAAAAGATGAACAACAATAAAAATTTATAATAAGGCAACGTTTCATAGCGGCATCGATGTACCCCTTACATTACCAGTTATGAAACCAATCATCACACGTATTCATGCAGAGGTTTTTACTGTCGACCACCTGCTCCATATTCAAAATTTTTCAGTTTCTTTCGTTTCAACGATACAAGACAGTTTTCTTTATCTGTAAGGGTTTCGTAATGATTCGGAAAATTGTAGTTTATTAATCTGGCCTATGACCACCAAATATTCTCCTCAGAAGTCCTTTTCCTCCGATTAACAGTGACTTAGAACGGCAAAGTACCGGATGTAAACTTACTGTGTGGAAAAGACGAACAGCATCGCGATATTGAGATAGAGATCTGGCTACTCAATGCATCCTTCAGCAATTTCGTCTCAACCAAGAACAACGTTTTTTATATTAACTGAAAGTGGGTCTAACTTAGAAAAAATTAAAGGTGTTGTTAATAAGTTTCTCCATTGTCGTTTTCAAGATCCGGAATATTTTTAATGCTGCCAATATCTGTCACGCTTGTGGGGTAGTTTCGAATTCTTTTCATAACATCTACAACCTCAGTTGTGCTGTTGTTTTTTCTTCCTTACTTTTTTTTGAATCATTTCCCTGCACATCCTTGCACGTTTCAGCGTAATTCGGTAGCTAGTTGACACTTGCTCTACTCCATGTTGTTGTAGTTGTTGTAGCAGTATGAGAGAATCTGGAGACTGGCGTCCGCTGGTTTTTCGAGACACTTGCCTAGTTCCACCATAGTGCCTCAACGTGATTATGTTGGATGTTAGGAAGGAAAGTGAAAAAATTTTATTTTATGATGGCATCAGAGTTTGTTTCTCGAATTCTTCCTATTTCTGCGAGGAGAGGTATCTAACGCAGGTGAGGGTCTCTTATTGCATAGAACGTTGTACCAAGAGCAACGCATTTTTCGTAAAACGTTAGATTAATATCACTGCGCTTAATTCACTATTGTGCTCTTTATTGCAGGAGTTTTACCAAGTCCTCAAAGTAGGCCTGGGGACAGAAAATGTTTTAATTTCAGAGAAGTAAGGGTTCCTAGTTTTGCTTTAATTCGAGCAGAATTTACTGACACTCGTGAAATATCAACATCTTCAAGCAGCGGTTGAACATGATTCGAAGGCCACTGGGCCTCTTGTACGTGGTAAGGAAAACTTAATGTTTTCCTGGCGCTTGCTCAAATCCATCGACGATCAATGGGACGACAGATGATACAGGTGATAATGGAAAAAGACGAACATTTGAAGAACGGAGCACTAGAACCAACGCATTAGAATGGAGCGAGGGGACGTCTGAGTTTGTGACGACGACCAAGACAATTTATGATAACTCACAATTCCAGAAGCCTCGGTCTGTCTCAACGCAGGACGTGGAGGTCTATAAATGGAGAGTGCCATAACGAAATAGATCACATCGTAATAATAGATCAACTGAAAAAGATTATGAAAATTGATCACATCATAGTTCTATAAGGCAGATATGCATCTAACCAAGACCAACCATAGAAACTGGCAATTCCAAAAGCCACACTCTCAACGCTGGACGTGGAAGTCTCCTAATGGAAAGTACCATGACAGAACGAAATGGACCTCATCATAGTAAACAGAAGGTCGTCCCTAACCGATATCGCTGTTGTCCCAAAATTCTACACGGGATCAGACTATCGTTTCTTTCGTGCAAGATTCTATTTCTCGCGGAAAGGAGAAAAAGCCACTAAACTCAAAAACCGAAGTCCCAGAACCACTATAAACTGGAATTTATTTAATTAATTAGTGAACTGCTGGGAAAATGCCGCTGTCGATAACATCGATGAATAATGCGAACGGCTGCTTCAACATCTTAACTTTAGCGAAATAAAAGATGAGAGTTCGGAAGTCACCAAGAGTCGTCTCTCTCCAGAAACACTTGAGCTGATACGCCAGCGTGGAATAGCGCGAGCTTCAGGCAACCGCGAACTAACGTCCGCACTTGCAAAACAGTACAGACAGACGATAAAAGATCTTAAACAGGGAAAAGTATCAGTAATGGTCGAAGGTGCAGAGACAGGAAAAAGTATTCTCAAAACTTATTGAAGGTTCGCCAATTACGAGACCAAGATGATTGAATTCCGGCGCTCAAACGGAACAGATACAACCTCCAGAAATGTAATGGAGAAAATCATTCACGCCTACTACTCAGATGTCTTCGATAGCCACATCCGCCTTCCGTTATATGAAATAAAGGAGGATGGATATGTTGTATCATCGGTTCTTCCTTCCGAAATCCTGCATGCCATTTCGTCGATGAAAAATCGAACAACACTGTATCCGGATAGGATAAGACCAGAACACCTGAAGAAACTTCCGCCAGTCTTCGTAAACACACTGGGTCGGCTCTTCACACGTTACCTGTCTGAATGCAAGGTCCCTACTCAGTGGAAAACAAGCAAAACCGTGTTATTGTTTAAGAAGGGTTACCTGCATGATATCCGCAACTATTTCCCAATTTGCTTGCCGTCTGTCGTCTACAAACTCATCATTCTAGTAAACCTAAACAGGTTGACAGAGTCCTGGACGAAGGACAGCCATGACAGCAAGCAGCGTTTCGAATAGGATTTAGTACGTGGAGCACATACACATAATAGCAAAACTCATCGCGAGATTACAAAAAACCGCTCTGTCTCACTTTGACCTATTTAAAGGCCTTCGACTCAACTGAGATAGAAACAGTCACGAAACCCTCGATAGTCACAAGGAGTCCGTCGCCAAAATTGTTTACCGCCATCCTCCAGAAAGTTATGCCAACATTGGAATGGGATAATATGCGAGTGAAAATCGATGGTTTGAAGTTCTACCCTCTTTGCCTTGTAGACGTTGATGACATCGTGCTTATAACACCAAACATCAGCCAAGCGGAACGTATGCTTGCCGACTTTGACAAAGTCTGTAGAAAGATTAGTTTTGGAATGAATCTCACAAAAGCAATGTTTATGAGGAACGGATTGGTTTCGTATGCCCCATTTACGCTCAACGGAACGAATATCTCCGAATGCTCCAGTTATGTCTACCTGGGTCGGGAGATCAACATGATGAACGACCTAGCTCCAGAGCTGTGCAGAAGGAAACGGGCGGCTTGGGGAGCTTTCAAAAACCTCGAGAATGTAGTGAACAAGACAAAGAACACCCAAACGCATGCCTAACTTTTCGACTCCATGATTCTTCCTTCTTTAACGTATGCCTCGAAAAACAGGTCACTGCGAAAGTAGGGTGAAAGATTACTCAGCGTTATTGAATGCGAAGTCGAAAGGACGATGCTAGGGGTATCCCGTTTCACGCAAGTCAGGGAAGGAATCTGAAGCTCCGACCAGCGTCAACGATCAAAGTTTAAAGACGCTGCTCTGCCCGCCAAACAGACGAATATAGGGTGAGCCGGACACGTAATGCGTATGAACGACAACCGATGGACAAGAGCCGTTAGTGACTGGATTCCTCGGGATGTCAAACGCACTGCAGGAAGACCAGGAAGATGGTCAGAGTTGTTTACGAAAAGCCTAGAAGAAAGATATGGTGCTCAACGAGACCCTAGAGCGAGGAGAACACACTCTGTAACTCTTGTGCGCGAGAGGGAAAAATGTAAGATTTATCCGCGCTCGCTCGAGTCACTCGACGATCGATAGAGCTACAGGAGATGCAGGTGATTGCATGTGCTCAGTTATGCCATAAACCTTTCGCTTTTATTCCATGTCCATACTTTTTTGTGTGTTTTTAAATATCTCGGTACAACGAGTGCATGTGAGAGCAGTTGAGCAACAATTATCTCTCAATTTTAGTTTATGAACGTCATTTTCAGTGTTTGATTAGTACAGTGTTATACAGTATTCTGCCGTGATAAATCCTGCAGTGTTTCTAATAAATACCTATACGAAGTATTTGATAAGTTAATCGAAGGCTTTTTATGCTATAGATTTTCTATGGGTTATATAGTAGTGAAGCACAACAAGATGCGGTGCAGTGCAGGTTTTCCCAACACAGATTAGCTTTTGGTAGAAATTCCAGCCCCATCCTATGTAGTCATTCGAGGAAAAAGAAATATATGCACGGTTAATGTACTTGAACCTGTTTTAACAAGGAAAGGATCATGTAAATGGCTTGCTGGTTGGGAGCGGTTTTGCCTTAAAATTTAATAAAAATCATGGAAATCAAAACTTTTTTCCAACAAGGAGCAGGTCTATTTGTAGCAGTTCCGAAAATTCTACACTTCTAATAGGCGACGAAATCGTCCGACGCTGTTCTAGGCTCGGCCTGGTTACTAAAGCATTTCTCCCACAGAATGTTTTTGACACGATTGTGGAAGTGTCACTTGATAGTGAAGAGGTCTGGCGAGTAGAGTAGACGAGGCAGGGCTTCGTAACCCAGTTTGTGCAAATTTGTGTTTCCGGTTGTATGAAGCGTCTCCTCATGTTAAACGCGAATTCGCCACAACGGAATTTTGAAAACCAATGCCGGACTGTGTAACGCTTAATAATTCCTCGTTTCCAAACTCATTATTGCTTCGGGTTGTTCGCGCTGCGTATATCCGATTTTGAATTTGTGGAAGTAGATAGGTCGTAGTTGGTGTTTCAAACCCCTGAAGCTGTAACACATAAAATTCGCAAAAAACACAATTTATATTGTGATTTAATTATCCCGCCGAAAGTACATGAAATAGTAGCAGCATTGAAAAGGTTCTAGCTGAAACGTATACAAAGCATTTGTGAGACTAAACCTTTAATTTATTCTGGCTAACTTCAATGGATTTTGAAGTGTGTGTGTGTGTGTGCTACCTTTTCTCCTTTATCAAAAAGTAATGCTTCTCTAAAGAAGCGATGTACTGGACCTGAAAAACCATGAAGAGAACAACCGCATCGCTAGATGATCTTTCTCGCGGCGATGAACTCCGACACTCATTCATCCTGTACCATCTATTTTTATAGGTCGTTCGTGATCTGACGCCTTTCAAATATTTCTTTGGTTTCAACCTTAGTCTTGAAATTGTCTGCAATAACCTAAAAGAATGTGTGGTCTTCCCTACAGAATTTCTCCAAATCCGTAAAAAATGCTTCGACCACGTTATCCTGACAGCATGACAGTGAGTGGACGACTAGGATTGTCAAAATCGGTATTAGTTCAACAGTTGTTTAAAGAACTAGATGCTCATGGTCAACCTTGTGTTGACAAGGGTGACAACTCCGCCTTCTCTATTATCGCATGTTACGAGCAACAGTTCCCTTCCAGTGTCATAGACGGGGTTGAACGGGTGGCGTCTTCTCGTCTCTGCCAGACCGATGACGCCTTACCTTATCTTTCTTGCTTGCATGAGCAAGTCTTCTATCGAGGGCTCGGATGCAAGTGTACGTGCACTGTAGGTACAGATCGTTGTCATGGTTCTTTGTAATCCATGTAGCTTCCACTGGCCCTGAGATTTTAGCAGCCTCTCCGTACTCGTCCTATCCAACGCTGTGAAATTGGGGCTCTTTCGAGATCAGAGAAATGAGGCCATTTTTTACTGTCTCTAGCATTTTGATACCCACGTATAGCTTGGTGGGCTCTAAACGTGGGACTGGGTATACTCACGAGTAGCTTGCCAGGTTTTCCCAGAGTGGACGTGGAGCTTATTTGTTGGGTGCGACCCCTAACCGCCTCCCATATACCTCTCTGTCACAATTTAAACTTATTATTTACTGCCTACTCTTTTTAACGATTTGGGCTTTCGAGATCAATCCCGCTGACGGGTTATTGCTGATGGGAAAAGATCGATAGAACTAGCAGAGAGACAGGCCAAACGAGGAACCCGCATGGTGTGGCGGTGAACACGTCACTTCCGGAAAAGGACAATACCGCATTCGTGCCCCACCGCAAAAACCTGCGGTACGGAGTTTTGCAAATATCTCAGCATCAATAAAGTTCTATTTCGCAATATATAGCTTGCCATTAAAAAGAATAGGCAGTAAATTATAAGTTAAAATTATGATTATAAATGCAGCCTGAGCTTAACTAGGTTCGTTGCCGATTTGGGCTCCCAAGATCAATCCTGCTGACAGGTGATTGCTGATGGGAAAAGATCGATAGAACTAGCTGAGAGATAGGCGAAACGAGGGACCCGCATGGAATGGTGGTGAACGCGTTAATCCCCGGAAAGGACAACAGCGAGTTCTTTTCCCACTGCAAACACCTGCTGTCCAGAGTTCTACAAATATCTCGTCATCGTTGTGGTTGTACTTCGCAAAAACAGAAGATTGTTCAAACTTGATAAATAGGTAGTCCCATCATAATTTACTGGGTCCGGCCGCCGCCTTTTCCGTGTGAAGATTCGGTTCAGCCGTAAGCTGGAAAAGATTTCATGTCTTCGATTACGAGGAAAACGTCATACTGCATATGACGAGAGCATTCTGAATGAAATCCTATACAAACGCAATTGGCAGGTCAAGGAAGACCAGACTGCAGACCATGAGCTGCCTGCCGAAGGACTGAAAGGGTGTGCCGATTTCGTCCCAGTTCCGCAAGTAAGAGGATTGGATCACATCTTTATTAACTTATATTTTTATCTTTATAAGCGAGATCGCACCCACACACGCATGCATGAACACGCCTAACAAATACAGAAAGTATATGCCCAATTGGCGCAGCAGAAACAGGGAGTCCATCCCCTGGATCCACCTGCATCTCAAAGAGGCAAAGGTCGATTTCGTCCGCGATTAACCCCTATCCGCCACCTGGGGACGCCCCACGTAGCTTCGCGACCCACCGGCTTGAGATCTGTAACGGCTCACAGCTCAAGGACGTGAGGGGAGTTCGCGAGAGTGTGGAAGAACTATGAACCGTTTGTGAAGTACCTAAAACTTGGGTAATTAAACCTTTATTAGTATACACATGTTACTAACACAACAACGCAAGACTTTTGTCCAACAACTGCGAATGAGGTGGTTCAGTGGGTTTGTTACCTAATAAAACACATTAACAATAGTACACACACCAATGTAACGGCTCACAGCTCAAGGACTTGAGGGGCGTTCGCGAGAGTGCGCAAGAACTATAAACCGTTTGTGAGGTACCTGTGAGCAATGAACGTATTGAACTTATGTTAACACGGATAACATAATTACACGAAAAACAACGATAACACTAATGTGTCAGCGATTCAAGGGCTAAGGGCTACATATACTATTATTATAACCTAAGCAAATGAATCTACAAAGTGAAATCAAAGGGGGTGGAATTAATGATGGGGCTGGCAAGGACGGTCTCGGCGGCGTCATTGGGACGAATAGCGGAACTACTGGGTGTGTCCCATGGCCGGAACGGGATATGGACGCAGAGGACGCGCACAGCGTTGCAGCCACGGGATCCATATCGATCCGTGGACTGTATTAGTTATGCGGATAGAGAATCCTCTATCTGATTGAGGAATTCTCTATAAGATCCCTCATGTGAAGGAGATGAGTGGTGTCTTGAACACCACTCAGAAAACACTTATTTGGCGGTTTCAGCACGTATTTGATACAACACACCACTAATATTCGGCTTACAACCATCACTGCTGTATTCTTGAAAAACGCTAGTAACAACGGGGTAAGCACAACATATTTGTTACAGAATACCAAGACGAAAACACAATGTTTGATCAGATCGCTCGCTTGAGAAGAAGCCATATAAACGGCGATGTTCAAGCTACAGGCAGGTTTCTTATAAACTTGAGCTGAATGAGAGACTTCACTGCTAAGCTGGAACCTCAAAGAACACAACGGATAATATAACATAACAGGTGATACAGTCATATTAAGATCACTGGAAAACAAAAACATAGAACGGTTTTACCACTCAAAAGACAGTATATTATCTATTAAACATAGGCAGAAGCAACATCAGAAAAACGAAAATTTGATTTACAACTAGATTCGTGACGTAAATTCCATGATTACACGTATTACATTACACCTTGCTATAATACCTAAAGCAGCCAAATTCACCGTGCAGGGCTGGCACTTCCTCCACTGCAACCGCCATCGTTGAAGGTGTTTCTGTACGCATGGGGATGGGAGTTGAGCGTCTGAAAGCCACAAATGAAAATACACGTGCATTAACGATCACAACTTTTCGGACCTCACTTAACGTCCCTTTTGTTCTCTTGAGGTCCACTCTAATGTTTTTCTCACTCAACCGT